TTTTTCAGCTGCTTTTAAAATGCCTCTGTCCCCCCATTTCTGCCTTTGTCCTCAGTTTATTTCAATTGCTGAAAGCTGAGTTAAAGGCTCAAAAATAGCTTGCACTCATCAGAGGAGAAGAAGGGAATGGAATTTTGCCCTTCCCAGTATATTCAGGCAAAAGCAAACTGCTGCAGCTTTTCCTAGCTTTTGTATTCTTTTTCATTAATAACTTATGCCATCCTGATCACACTTTGCTGTTGCTTTGGGCCAACCAAAATGCACAAAGTACATGTTGCAAGCTTTCAAAGTTCTCAGTTCAGATGGTAAGAAGGGGCATTCATGTAGGGAGGCCCCTCTTCCTCCTGGCCATGTGGCTACGCCAGGAAATTTCTAAATTGCACTGAATTTTTCATTAGAAACATTTTTAAGTGCTGTTTTGGCCCTTTTTTTCCAGGTTTTTTCCCTCCTGTATGATTTTTAACACCTTTGCCTGATGAATGAGCCAGTGGAGCTTCCAAAGCTGGCAACATATATTCTGTGCATTTCGGTTGATCCAATAAAGGTATCACTGCTTTGTGGATTTGGGATGTTATGGTACTTTGGTATATGGCCAACACGGCTACCCCTGGATATGTTTTTTGGATATAAGCTACCACATTTTAGCCACATCAAGGAAGTCCTAAGGAGAGGGCCAATGGACTGGGACTTGACCATTTCAGGTTTCTACCTCCGACAAAGGTAAAACCTTTTTGTCTTCAAAATGGGACTACATTTGGCATGTTTTACCGAAACAGCACCTTAAAAGTGTTTCCCAATGCAAAAGCACAGAGGACTTCATTAGAATTTCAGTGCTCTCCTCCTAACATCATAATAATTTTTCCACGACTGTATGATTTTTAACACCTTTGCCTGAGGAGGAATCCAGTGGAGCTTCGAAAGCTCGCACTATGTATTTTATGTATTTTGGTTGGCCAATAAAGGTATCACTGTTTTGTCGATTTTGAATGTTACTGTACTTCGGTACATGGTCAACATAACTCTGCCCCTGGATATGTTTTCTTAAAAATACAGAGCAAATAAAGAAAGCAAAGAAAGCATTAAAATACTAAATAGGCTGAATATGGGGAAAAGAAAAGAAAAACATTTGTTCTGGGAAATTGTGTTTTTGCCTGAGGTCAGGAAGAAGCAAGAGCTGATAGGGACAGGAAGCAGGATTTCAGGAAACCAAAGAAGAGTGGAAAGATCTCTGTCTGTTGTTGTGTGACATTTACTGTTCATTTTTTTAAAAAGTGTAATGCAGGACCATCACATTTTGTAGACACAAAGGAAGCAGATTTTTTGCTTTTGTCCAGATGAGCATGTTTTTTTTTATTTATTTATTACTGAGTGAATCTTCCTGGTACAAATTGTTTTCAGAGCAGCTATGGTGAGATGACTTGTTTAAACGCAGGAGACATTAAGGGACTGTATAGACAGCCCCTTTTCCTTGCCGGATCAGGGCCGCAGCAACCGCACGCCGCAGCCCCGATCCAGTACTTTGCCACTCTAAAAAGAGCTGGCAAATGCTGCTCCTTTTTGGAGAGGCAAGAACCTGCCCTTGCTGCGCTCCTTTGGCGCAATGTGTCTGAATGCTGCGCCAAGGAAGTGCCCTGATGCCGCCTGCCGTGCGGTGGGGTGCATAGCGTTACAGCGCCATCAGGTCAGAGTTGGGGTGGCCGGCGTGCGTTTGCCACACCCCAACTCCATCCCCAGGCCAGCCCTTTTGGCCGGTCTGTACAGGGCATAAAATCCCTTTTTTGTTGCTGTTATGTGCCTTCAAGACATATCTGATTTATGGTGACCCTAAGTGGAACCTTTCATGGGATTTTCTTGGCAAGATTTGTTCAGAAGGGGTTTGCCCTTGCCTTCCTCTGAAGCTGAGAGAGTGTGACTTGCCCAAGATCATCTAGTGGGTTTCCATGGCCGAGCAGAGATTCAAACCTTGGTCTTCCAGTGTCCTAGGTCTTCCAGTACCCTAGTCCAATATTCAAACCACTGCACCACACTGGCTGGCTTTCAAATCACGGACTCCTAAAGTATATCTGCATCACAAGGGCTGCATCCACACTGTACTAATAATCCAGGTTGGCACCACTTTAACTGACATGGCTCAATGCTATGGCAATCTGGGTGTTGTAGTTTGTTGTGGCACTGGAGCTCTCTGACAGAGAAGGCTAAATGTCTCACAAAGCTACAGTTCCCAGAATTGCATAACATTGAGCCAGGGCAGTTAAAGTGGTGTCAGCCTGGATTATTACTGAAGTGGGGATGCAGCCATAATTGCAGTGGTTTGATGCCACTATTAACTGACCTGGCTTTATCCTACTGAATACTGGGCTTTGTAGTTTGATTAGAAATCAGAGAATTCCGGTACTGTAGTTTCGGTGAGAGCACTACAGAAGTGGTTCTCAGCCTTCGTTCTTCCAGAAGTCATGAGATTTAAAGTGCGAAATCCTTCACTATTGGCCACAAATGCAGCTACCGTCCAGATCAGGACCATCACATGCAGATGGAGGAACCTTTAAACCCTGCTAGGTTTTCAAATAAGGGAGCATTGAAAATGAGGGCATTGCTCCCCCAAATTAAGGATTCCGTGTCTCCCCATTTTCTTCCAGTCCTCAAATTTCTCGCATTGCAGTAACTCAGAAATATAGTTTAGGGTTCCAAAGAAAAGTCATAAGGAAATGCGAACACAGCAAAAATAAAAGTTCTAGGTGTGGACAACTTCCAGTGTCTCGATATCTGCAATGCTAGTAATCTGGGGAATGAAGGAAAATTTCAGGAGGGGAACAGAATTATTATTTGGAGGGGCAATTTTGCCCAACCCCATATCTGAAAACCTGGGGGCAGTGGCGTCACTAGGGTTGACTCATGGTGCCACTCTCCCATTGATCTCCTCCCAAACCAAACATAAATCATTATTCCCATATATCATTGAATATAATAGCTGTGACATAAACAACTAGCAAAATTAAAATTATACCTTTCAATTACAGTTTCATCCGCTCAGCCTAAATGTATTTACGTATATGTAGTTTCCTGTGGTTAAAGTGGTAAATTGGTAAAATGTGATGATTTTAATGAAAAATTTAAAAGAATATTTTTTTAAAAAATTAAAATTTTAAATTGTTTCCTCAGTGAACTATTCAGAGGTGCATCATTCCCATCTCTATATGTTCCACATCTTAAAGTACACTCATTGTCTCATATGAGCATTTTTTTAGTCTGGCATTCATCTCTTTTTAGTTGTGGTTGTATGCCTTCAAGTCATTTCCAACATATGGAGACCCCAGGAAAAACCTGTCACAGGGTTTTTCTGGGGCTGAGATTGTGTGACTCACCCAAGGTCACCCAGTGGATTTCCATGGCCAAGCAGGGAATCAAACCCTGATCTCCAGAGTTGTAGTCTAACACTGAACCCACTACACCATGCTGGCTCTCCATTCATCTCTAGTGAGCCCCAATTCCATCTTTGTTTTCCTTTCAACTTTGGACTTTATCACATTATGGAGAAAGACGGGAACATAGCAGGATGTTTCCATCGATGTTGCATAATTTTGAGAAGATTAGCACACGAGATTGCGCAATGTCATGTGATAATCTTTTCAAAATCACGCAGTATTGACGGGAGCATCCCGCTATGCTCTCGTCTTTTTTCCTAGTGTGATAAAGTCCTTTGTAGAAAATAATTGGAAAAATTAACCGGTTTGGTATCAGTGCTCTAAAGTTTTCATGTCAGCTCCCCAACTTTATTTTTTCTTTTACAGTTGTTTGACCGGGAACTCTGTGTCCGCCAGCTGAGGTACTCTGGGATGATGGAGACCATCCGAATCCGCAGGGCTGGCTACCCCATCCGTTATACTTTTGTAGAGTTTGTGGACAGGTACCGAGTACTCATGCCAGGGGTGAAACCAGCATACAAACAGGTATAATAATTAATTACCATCTTTTAAAAACACGATTCAACACTTTAATGCAAGATGATTCATCACTTTAATACAACCTACTGCACCTGAGAAAAACTAGATTAGCAGCAACCTCCCAGAGGTCTTTCTCTGTCTTTGCTCCCAGACTATGGAATGCCTTGCTGGAAGAGATTTGTCAAATAGCCAGCTTGGACCATTTTAAAAAAGCCATCAGGACGGATCTCTTCTGGCAGGCCTTCCCCAAATAGAATAGACTCTACCTCAATCTGCATCTCTCCCTCTTTTATATCTTTACTGGTGCTAGAACACCAGTTATTTTTAACTTATTTTAGTAGTTGCATTTAATTTAATTTTTTTAAAGGGGGGTGTAACTTGTTTTTATCATGTTTTATTGTTCAGTATGGGGTTTGTTTTATCTATCTGAACGATGTAAGCCACCTTGATTGCCTTAGCAAAAGGCGGGATCCAAAAATATAGTTTATTATTATTATTATTAAGATAGACTACACATAGAGGCATATGAGGGGGTATCGTAGAGATTTAATTATCACCTTTGAAAAAAATTGACAGAAAGTTTGTTTTGATTTGTAATTGTTAACTTATCTTTACGTAGGGACATTGCAGACCAGCTTAAAGGGCCAGCCTGAGGGTGGAGTTGGGGCGGGGTGGCTGCATGCCGGCCACCCCAAGCCTACCCCGACGCCATTTTGATGCCACGCGCCCGTACACATGGCGCGCGGCATCAGGATGCCCTCCTGGTGGAGCGTGTAGACACATTGAGCTGAAAGGGTGTGGAAGAGTCACGGTGCCAGCTCTTAGGGCAGCCTTTTGCCACCCCTAAAAGGAGTGGCATTTTGCTGCTCTTTAGGGGATGGCAAAAAGGAGGATCGGGGCTGCAGTGTGCGGTTGCCATGGCCCCAATCCGCCCCTCCCAGGGGCAGCTCTGTGCCACCCCATAAGGTGGGTCTGTAAAGGCCTTTGAGTCACCATCCAGATTTTCCTGATTCTCTGAATACCGTTATTGTAGAAGTCTGCAGATTGCACCTTACGAGGATTTTACACTTTAGTCACTTCTGGCACAAAAATAAAGGACACAATGAGCTGATTTTCTCAACATCATGCACTTAGGGACCAATGATGACACTGACAAAATTTCATCAATATACCATAATAACTTCCCGGTCATAATTATTACTTTACGTTATGCCCTCGTAAGGGGCAATCTGCAGACTTCAAAAATATAATGTATTTGGAGGATCAAGAAACGATGGGGGAAATGTGTAAATCTGAATGGTGACTATGTAGAGATAAGTTAACAACGACAAATCAAAACAAACTTTCTGTCAATTTTTTTAAAAGGTGATAATTAAAACTTTATGATACCTCCTCTTAGCTATAGGGGAGGAGTGAAAAATGCAGGCATTGGTTCTCAATAAAAATTCTACATTTCCGAATGAAATTTTCCTCCACTCCCCAAATTTCTAGCATAGTACTGAGCATTTTTCAGCTCAAAAAAATATGTAACAATATCTCTTTTTGTGAATAAATATGTTTAGTATATGGGCATATTTTAAATATGTATAAATATGTATTTTAATGTATTTTAAAACCACAGATTGATACTTTTCTGGGAGTGAACTAATAGATGAACACCATGCAAAAGTAGTGTCTCAATAATGTAAAAGTATGGCTAAGAAAAGGGTATGTTTTCAGTGTGGTTAAATATTGCAAAAATATTGTGAATTAAAAAAACCAAAATATCACAGAGTAATGCTAGGAATGGACTACTAATGCATGAACACATACAGAAGTGACCTAGATTGGAAAGTAGGGATGCTAGAAAAATTTTGTTTGCTTTGCTCTACTTAATTTGTACCTCTTGCCTAATTTTCACTAGCATGTGGACCGAAACATAGTGGTTCTATGGATTCCACACTTTAAAAATTCATATATTAAGGGGAACTTGTGTGGTGAGTCACTGCAAAATCCCACCATGCCATTTCTTTTAGGGAGACCTGCGGGGAACATGTCAGCGCATTGCTGAAGCTGTGTTGGGAAAAGATGACGACTGGCAGATTGGCAAGACAAAAATATTCCTGAAGGTAAAGATGGCAATTGGGTTATAGAGTAGAATGCACCTCCAGATGGGTCAGAAAGTCTCTGGACATCTCACCAGCTTCTGCAAATGGATTAACCTGCAGATGTGGAGGGATGACTGTAGGAGCTTCATCCGATAAATGTACATATTAGACTTCACCAACCACATAACAACAAGCTGATTTGCTAATATGAATTATGTACTTGCATTGAATGTGAAAAGCTGGTGTAGATCATTTTTCTTCTGCTCTCTATTTAGTGGGCCCTTGGTATCTGCTGGGGTTTGGTTCCAGGAACCCTCTGGATACCAAAATCTATGGATGCTCAAGTTCCATTAAATACAGTGGCATAGTAAAATGGTATCCCATATATAAAATGGCAAAATCAAAGTTTGCTTTTTGGAATTTCTATATTTTAAAAATATTTTCAAACCGTGGATGCTTGAATCCGTGGATTAAAAAAAAATCTGTGGATAAGGAGAGCTGGTTATACTTCTTTCTTCTAGTCTCTGGCTTTTTTGTTTCTGTAAATGTGATTAGTCCAAAATGTTTGCTCCACAGCTTCTATGCTTCTGTACCAGAGGTGGAAATCATGAAGCTCTCAAGATGTTGCTGAATTGCAACTCCCAGAACCTCTACCTAACATAGGTGGGGAACGCTGGGAGTTGCAATCCATCAATACCCCAAAGATGTCCTGATTTCATTCCTGTTTTATAGGAACTGGTGCTTTACACATGAAAGTCTTGTGGGTCTGAAGACCAAGCAGAGAACAGTACTTCCATTTCAGGGAGAGTTAACTTATCAGGGCCAGGCAGATGTCTGTGGAGGAAACTGGGAAATGGGTCGGTCAAAAGGTCTGCTCAAGAGTCGGCTCGGTCTAAAAACACATGAGACAGTATAGGAGCCTTGATAATTGTGCTCCTAGAAAGAAACCAAATATTAGAGGGCAAGGGAAGAAAATCTTTTTGAGTATTTTCATTTCCCAAACTTGATAGCTAAGGCTCAGTTTTGTTCACAGGCAGGAAGTGTGAAATGACAAAGAGTTACACACCCTTTCCTCTTTTCCCTATAGCCTTGCCAATGGCCAACTGATAAAGGGTTAACTGATAAGAAGTTATTCTGACATTTCCAAATGCCTTTCCATTTATTTTGGGGGATGCATGAGCATCCTTATGTTGACCCCTCTAAGAATATTTAGCAGAATACACTGGGCTAGCATTG